TACAGTAACATCTTACATTGATGCGCCAGCCTCCTTGTGTGAACGACACGACGCTTCTTTCGAAGTATCCAGGATACAATCTAGTTTCAGACCGCAGCCTCCTTCTTCTCCTCCTCCTCCTCCTCCTCCTCCTCCTCAGCCGCTCATCATGCACACACGCACCGCGTTGTTGTGGTCGGAGTAATTCACCTTCATATCAGCGGAAAAATTGATCATTTGACTTTACTACTCCTGCTCGGGTCAGGCACTGTGGCTATATAATGCCCTCCGTCGATAGATAGCTGCGTGGGTAGCGTCCTGAGACAGATTCATGTACAGGTACATACACAGTCTCCTTCGACCAGTCTGCAGTCTGTCGTGTTCGCTGTAAACACGGCGCCCTGCGCAGAGATCGTTTCTGTTGCTAAAGATGAATCACTCCTTCCAGTCTGTGGAGGTGGGCGTCGCTCTTACTGCAGTTTGGCGACAATAGGAGCGCAGTTACCATAGTGACTGGTCTGGTACTCACAAGAAGTCAGTTTTATCTTTGTGTCTTTCACCGATATTAATATAAATATTAACTAGAGGAAGCCACATGTCATTGCTTTTCATTATCATTTGCACATTTTCACAAGGACCACTTCACTACACCAACTTTCCTTGTACATTCACACCAGACAACGAGGCGGTTTTTATAATGTAGACTGTTATTAATCTACGAGTAGCCAACACATTTTCAATTCGCCGAATGCGTTAATTTTCGCGCTGCTTCTTAAAAGTCCACCTCGGCGTAACAGATCGAAAGAATTGCACAGAGTGAGACTTCCGACTTTACCCTCCCCTCTCTGGTCGCCGCCGTAGCGACTCCGTTAACGACGCGGAGCAAAGGAAATCCGGGATGCTGATCCAGGATCGGGGTTGTTTTGCTGCTCACAAAACACGCAGCAGCGGAGGGCTGCCTATACAAAGATCGTGTCTGTCTGCGCCACCTGTAATTACTCTCTTAATTCCACGCAGTCACAGCTGTGTCTTTATATCTGCGGTGTTATAAGCCTGTCATGCATCGCCTCTACGTGCAAATATCACTCGCGTCTTGGTATTCACATATTGCTTTTGAGTGCGTGTGTTATATCTGTCTTATTGTTACACAGACATTACAATAATATGTGGTATTGGTTGTTTTTACATTATGATATTACATTATAGTATTTAACTTTGTTTAATGGACTAGAATATAAATCATATTATATTCTAATTTACTATCAAAAAATTGCGTTGATCTTAAGCCCCACGCCTTATTATACCACAACATTCATCACGTAGTCTTGTCTTTTGGAGCTTGCTTGGTAGCAGCTCATGCAAAAACATTCGGCGCTGGGTTTCCCCTGAAAAGACACCAAAATGCTGCCATCTTGAGGGGAGTGGACACAACTGCAAGCTTCAAATCTGCAGTCAAATAAGAGGGAGGGGTAAAAGCTCTAATTTGCTGAAGCAAACTATGAAAATATGAATGTATTCTTTCTTGAAGGCATGGTTTAAACTATGAATTATTTTTGTCTTTGCGCATGTTGTTATCATGGGAGGTCACGGTGGCTATAGATCCAACAACCCTGACAGTGCTGAGCCATAGAGCTAAACAGGGATTTCAACTGTTAACCTTGGCCTTGCTATTGAGCGCCAAAAACATCCACAAAACTGAGAGGCAAAATAATACCATACTGTAGCCTTGTAAGCTAAATATAAAGGGAGACAGTTGCCTCAGTCGTTTGTCAGGAATTTAAAACAACTCACCTCATCACACTTCGTTTGAGACACGGACAGGTACGGTTGCAAGGCTATTCTGAGGTCCGAGGCCACGGGCCAGCAGCTTACGGTGCTGTGGGAGAAGCAGACGGTAAACAAAAAACGCTGACAGAAGAACCCCTTACAGTTTTGATTATCCCCGTAAATACAGGCCGCTTTCATCACTTCACAGAGCAGGAGCACAGAGGCATTATTCGAACGCCGCACATTACCTCAGCTCTGGCAGACAGCACTCGGCATCCGTCACAATCCAACAATTAGCACTGAATGGAGGGAGACAAAAAGAAATGCACATTAAAACTGAAGTGAATATCGGTGGCCACCCAAGAGTCCAGCATTCAGTGAGTCAGCCTCTAACAAGTGCTCACTGTACCAACATGACCTCCCTGTGCCAGAGAATTTTGTGCCTGTCCACTTGCATTTGTTAAGTCCCCATTAAAGTCCCCATGAAGGCAGCCGGCGGGCCCACCTACCTCGACTGTCCCGGTGGAGTCCATTCTCGCACTGCACTCATGTGGAAATAAGCCTGTTTACCACCAACGGGTCACACATGCTAATGAGCGTCTGTTTGTTTTCCACCGTGCTCATGAAGGAGGAAGGGAATTTAGAGGGGAAATAATAGATGATATGCAGACAACAGCCCGGGTGGCTTCGCTGCACTAATGATGAAAAACGTACAACAGAGAATTAATGGATATGAAATCAGAACAGGAAATGCGGTCTGATGGTTTGATGTCGCTGGGTTCTGATCACGCAGAAATGCTGAGTGTCAGCTGGCCTGGTTTGGAAGCAGTGGGGCAGTTGTGGTTCAAGAATCCCCAAGGTGGACTGACAGTAGACCCAAAGACCCAATAAGCTTTGCCACAGGAACCCCCATCTGATAGGTAAGGTAGGATAAAATGTAGAATTAGATACTTGTCTAGACCATAAACTGTAGATCCTATACTGATGACACAGCAATTATCAGAAGTCCTTTTGTATCTTCTCCCCTTTTGCTAGTGCAGTGTCTGTTGAAAACATGTCTGTTCAAAACGGGCCGAATGCTTGGCCTGTGGTGACGCTTTCTTAAGAACCGCTCATCCAAACAGTGTCACACTCAACACTGAGCAGTACACCTTGCAGATGACACTATACCGTCATCGGCCGGATTACGAACAACAATTAGAGTTCAGAAATCGACAATCTTACAGAGTGGTGCTCAGAGAACCACCTACTGCTCAACGTCAGTAAAACCAAGGAACTGGAAGGCGCACACCCCTGTCTATATCAATGGAGCTGAGGTGGAGCAAGTTCACAGCTTTAAGTTCTTTTGTTAATCAGACTCACAAACAACCTGACATGGTCCTCCCAGATCTCCATCCTGGTGAAGAAAGCTCATATCAAGCTGTATTTCTTAAGGAAACTTAAGAAGGCAGAAGTCCTGTGCCAAGTTCTTGTCAACTTGTACAGAGGAGCAATAGAAAGCATCCTGAATGGAAACATTACAAACTGGCATGGGGTGTGCATGGCCCAGGACAGGAGGGCTCTACAGCGGGTAATTGAGATGCCCAGAACATCATTGGTACCTACTGAGCATCGGTGATATTGGTGACAAGGGGTGCCTGCGAAGAGGTGAAAGGTAATTAAAAGATAAAACCCAACTCAGCCACAACCTGTTCACCCTGCTTCCGCCTTTAGTTTTACTATTGTTGTTAGTTTTAATTTAAATAGTTTGCCAATATGCAGCACACACATGAATGCACATGAACACAATGGTGTCCATTTTAAACACGGCAGAAGCTAAGGTCCCAGGACATTCATCTTAAGGCCTATTAACTCCTGCTAAGATGAAAGTAAGACATTTAACTTCTAATAGGACGAGCTCAGGTGTTACCGATTACATTAACGATGGTTCTCTTCCATTCAAATGGCCCAGCGGGCAATGACCCAGCATGCTGCATACACACTGTAAAAATGAAGCAGATACATTGCATTCTGCCAGTGTTCATTTTATCTTTTATGCCATGTGCGTTTCCTGCTGTTTTCACAAGTCCTCTCATACTCATCAAAGTGCCTTCATTGAAAAAGGCCCCTTGCCTTTTGATGCATGACGACCTTTCAAATGATGCTTTGTTGCACAGGGGGGTCACCATCGATTTAAAATAAATTCAAGCATTTGGGAGGCAGCAGTTAGTAATGCAGTTCAGGAAAAATTTGCTCAAGACTTATCGCCATTGTTCCTTGATTGATTTTGGAATCTTTTGCTTTTTACAATGCACGCTGTTGCTTTCGATCAGATTCTGCCGACTGCTGTTGGTCACGACACACAAAGGTACAGCTAGTGTGACATCACGGCTTTGAGATTTCAAGGCAGCGAGGAGACAAAGGTACAAAGGGTCCAGTAATTAGCGTGGTGCCTCAGTTGCTGGTGCATTAGTAACAAAGAGTGCGAAATGATGTAATGTGGCGGTAGGAAGTCTCAGAACTCCTGATGGCACATGGGAAACACAGAGGAAGAGGAACAGTGTAAACCCTCAACAGTGCACACACTGAATGGGGAAAAAAAATATTAAATAAAATGAGCATCAATAAACTGCTATACCACAGGGCTCCTGTATTAGATTCAATGGTGTCTACGTCTAAAGATGTGTCTTACCAATGTGTTTTGAGAAGTAGTTGACACACAAGGAACAATTCTACAAATGTTTATGAGAAACAGGAACACACAGTACATTTCATATCCTGCGTGCTGATATTTCGAGTGAATTAGAGCCACAAAGTATACTGTAAATCCAGTCATCTTCACATTTACCCAGCACAAATGTATCCAACACATTGTGTCTGAACTATTATTATTTCTGACTGATTGATCACCGTAGATTGTGTCCACTGTCCAAGTTTTAGCCTGATCCTGGGATATGTTATTAACATGGCAAATTAGAAACTTGGTTCTTCACATCCCTGTTAACATGGTTCCCACATACCCAGGTGTCTGATCATCTGGGTGCTGTCGTGTCTTCATTTCTCGCTCTCAGCGCTCTTCCTGCCCGGAACAAAGAGTTGGAGGTGTTCGTCAGAGGTCGACTGCTGAATGTGGAGACGCAACCGGATGTAACCAACTAGCTCATCCGGCAGCCGAGAGAGCTTTTAGCATCCTAGCTAACGTAATCTAAACAGCAAAGACCGTAACATTTTAATAATAACGCTATATTGTCATTTGACAACACAAAAGAACAGACATGATTAAATCCATCCTGATATTTAACAACCACGGAAAGCCGCGGCTGATCAGATTCTATCAGTATTTTGTAAGTATTTGTGGGGGTCGCAGTTCAAAACATTAGCATCGTTCTGTTGCTGTGTTTACTCATTGAGCGTTGTATGACCTTTTGTCAGCTAGTGCACAATCCCCATCACAAATGTTTAAGATCTCGTTATATATATATATATATATATATATATATATATATATATATATATATATATATATATACACATATATATATATATATATATATATATACACATATATATATAAATGTGTATGTGGTCAGATTGTTTGTCATTAACCAATTTACAACTTATAAATAACGTTAGCGGATGCTAGCTTGCAATGGTGTAGAGGAGCAAACCGCAAAGCTAAACTAGCCATTTTTTCAGTCAGTTCCTCTTATTCAGGCAAACATCTCTCTTTGTAACATATTTAACTATGTATACCTCCCTAAGCAGCATTAAACAGTTGGAATTTAGCCGTATTAAGATAAAACACAAGTAACTTGTATGCTTTGTACAAATACATTATTACTACGTACTGTACTTATTGGCTTAGTTAGCTAGTAATCACAGACTTTGGATCATTCACCACCTGTCTTTTTACGCTTTTAGCTTATAACTGCAGGTAAAAGGTGGCCCATGTCACCTTAATAACTCCTCCTCTCCAGTAACTGTTGCTTCGGTAGATACTGTTACATTACACTCAGATAATTGTGAGTGGTTTAGAAAGATTAATAATTAAATTGCATTATTCCCAAATTCCCATGCTAATTGATCAATCAATTAACGGAGAAAACGATCAGCAGATTAATCCATAATTGAAATACGATACAAAATAGTTAAAAAGTAGCTCCACTTCAACTACATCAGTAAAATCCGACTTTTATATAATGCATGTGTAATAATGATCTCATGATAATATATAATCACAGAGGTCATTTGTCTGCATTGAGTACTTTTACTTTTAATACTGCAATACATTTTCCTAGTTATACTTACATTCTTTTACATAAATAACATTTTCAATGCAGGACATTTACTTTAGTTGTTACAGTGTGATCTTAGTACTTTTACTTCAGTAAAGGATCTGAATACTTCCTCCACCACTGTCCACAAGTGACCAGATCATGTGGTTATCAAGGCTCTTATCTTAAACATCAACCGTTGCAATGATATGATACTATACTTGTGCCTATTATCTGTGAGTGGGAATTTACGAATGCACTGAAGTCTTATCAGTTTGATCAAATTACATTTTTGTGGAGAGTTTTGTGTAAAATACTTTCATTTGGTACGACAAGATAGTACTATATCAGACAAGTAAAAATGAAACATCACTCAAAACAATGGCGGGTGCCTGTAGAGTGAATTTATTAACCAAACACAGACTACATTTCCCAGAATGGTTGTCACTTAACAGACTGTGCAACATGTTTTCCTGCAGGCGGAAGAGATGCAGCAGCAGATCATTCGGGAGACTTTCCATCTGGTATCCAAAAGAGACGACAACGTCTGCAACTTCTTGGAGGGTGGAAGGCGAGTATTGCTGTCTTTTTGGCGACCATTCCGTACGAAAAATTGTGCTTTGACAAGGGAATAACCGAGCTTGTGTTTCTACTACGTGTGCATCTAAAAAGACTGTCACTGTGTGTTTTATGGTGGTGATGGATGCACGAATTACAGACAAGCTGCTGCGACTGAACTCTGTTTTTTTTCACTTTGAGACTAAAACACATGACATGTTGACAAAACTCCATGACTCATAAAGTGACTTCATGACTCACTTTATACTCATGACTATAAACCCTGGGCCACCTGTGTGGACTTTGTCAGTCTGGTTTGATGTCACTTGGCAGCAAAGACGAGCAGCTGATCAGCAGCTGACTGCAGCTGCAGTAGCGTGACTTTATCCAATAGATGGAGGCAAAACTCACAAAAGTGGACTTCTCTCATCAACTCATTTACACACTGAACCCTGAATGTGAGTTTTATAGCAAACACTTATTTGTTTCATTCCCCGCTGTCACCTTTACTCACAGCACAAAGCTAGAATTTTCTTGTAAGGTTGCCTTTTTTTTTTTGGTAATCTTCTTGCAGTCTCATCGGTGGCTCCGACTACAAGCTCATCTACCGGCACTACGCGACCCTCTACTTTGTCTTCTGCGTGGACTCGTCTGAGAGTGAGCTCGGCATCCTGGACCTGATCCAGGTCAGCTTCTACTCTGCTTCCAGACATATTCGTTACAATGTGTGGTTTCCGAAGGTGGAACAAAGACTCTTCTGCCTCGCTCCCCCGAGCTGCTTAACAAGCTCCTTTCCATTACATTATGCTGCATCTGATTCATTTTGGGAATCGAACCCGTTGCCTCCTCCCTGGTTGTTTTTAATGCTGGTGGATCTGAGAAATGAAACTTAACTCTGTTGCTGATCTCAATGGAAAATCTCCGTGGATGAGACGGTAACGAATAATAAAGATGTCTTTATTGCACACTCGTAACAATTAGTGCCCTAAAAGTTAAGCAATGCCACCGACCTGCTCAGTCCGCCCACTGAACGCTGACATCAGATATTTATCAGCGGCAAATCAGCGTCATCGTCAATAAAGGGGAATAACAGAGATACAAAACAAGCCACAATTACACAGAGAGTCTGCCTGAACCTCATTGCCTTAACCAACACAAAACCCGACAAAAGTAGGAGTAGTTTCAATAAATAACCTGCAATTTATTAATGTTGTCTTCGATATTGGTTTTATTTGCGAAATCAGTCGCCATTTCTGTCGTTTTTTTTAAATGTTCAGAATGAAACATAACCACTGGCTTCCTGCAGTTACCAGTTACCTGCAGTACCAGCACCATCTTTACTTCACTTTTCTTATTAAGCAGATCTATAAGAACTCTGCTAATTAACGATAATCTCCGATTCTTTTTAAACCCTCAAATATAATCAAAATCTCTACTAACCATATAAACCATTTCTCTGTACTATAACAACATTTGAAGTTTATTTGAGAAGTGAGACGATTGACCGTCCAGAGCTGCTTCTTCTTCTTGATTCATAGGTGTTTGTGGAGACGCTGGATAAATGCTTTGAAAACGTCTGCGAGCTGGACCTCATATTCCACATGGACAAGGTGAGTGGGGGTCGAGGCTCGGAAGCAGAGCAGACTCTGCGATAATAGAAAGTATGACAAGAAAGTTATTTTGCTGACTGGCAGCCGCAGGAGGGCGGTGACTCAGTCACTAGAGTGACCAGTCAGTCGAGGCTTGAGGGTCAACTTCTACATGGGAAACATCTTCTTTGCTACGGTTATTATTTGTTTTGTGTAAAAATGAAGCTCAACACCTATAAATACACTAACTGCAGAGTGCAGATACACGAATATGCCGAGAGTGCGTCTCCTCTCTTCTCTGACTGCAGCTGGGAGTGCTGCGCGAGGCTGCTGTGAGAGTACCCGCCTGTGAGTGCTTTGGGGCACCCGCTGCTCGATCATGACAGTGCAGAACGTACGTGCTTTCACGTCAGAGTCAAAACACCAGAAAAAGTGGCTAGATTTGTCGCTAGTAGCTTTTGACAAAAAAAATCGCCAAGGGGGTTCGGAAAGTCACCAGTTTTTTTTTTTAATGGGAAAAAAATGATAATACATGTAGTGTATTTATAAAAATTATTAAATTATAAAATAGCTATAACTTTGTGATTCTGTCTAAGCCAGCAGAGGAGGCCTTGCTGGCCTGCCGGCCCACCACTGGGTTTACTGTATGTGTACCAAGTCTGCAGTGGCGGTTTGTTATAAATGGTTTTGTTTTTCATATTCAGCAAACAGTTCAGATGAGGGGAGCTTGTGTGCGAGCTGTGAGGGGAGACGTGACTCCCCCCCCCCCCCCGAGGTATCGTGCAGTGCAGTTGTGTGTGTGACTTCTCCATGCAGCCAGCTGCTTTTTAGAAACAGCCAGCTGCTGTAATTGATCCACTTCCTTTCGGTGTATGGGCCAAGAATGTTTTTTATTAATACAGTAAATCAAACTGTGCTTATTGAAGGAGCTCTGAAATGCCTCCTTTGCTCGACAGTTTGTCTTGAGAGCTGCATTTCTTTGTAGGAGACTAATAGAGCACATCTCTATACGGCCATCTTGATTGAATTTGCCCAGTAGGAAATTGATGTCATGTGGTGCTGTGGGGGTTTGGCTGGAGGAATGTTCCCAACATAGAATTGGGAAATAGGGGTTTGGCTGGAGGAATGTTCCCAACATAGAATTGGGAAATACTTCCACTGGAGATTAAAATGTTTTGCTTTCATTAGGCTTTCCTGCCTGGACAACACCGCCATGCTTTGATTTGTAAAACTCTGATTTTGGACTTATGCAGATTGACAAATTACAGATCGAGGCTGTTTTTAATTTCCTTTCCTCGTGTCATTTCATGCAGCTGTAACTGCTTTTTTTGCCAGGGGAAAAATAGGAATATAGCTTTATGGAATATTATACCTTGCTGATTACAAAGGCATGATTGCTCTATTTTAACATCCTTAAATTGAAAGCAGTTGTGCATCAGAAGACAGTCTCATGTTCCCCCGAAATACTTTCTGCCCACAGGAATTCACGACTCGAGAGTGAAAATTGAAACTGCTATTGAGCCACGAGAGCGACGTTTTAGAGAGGATTGAACACTCCAACATTAGTTTTTTGCCTCTCTCGTCCCGTTCTGTATCATTTGGTGTAAGGAAACACAAATGAGCTGAGGACTGTTAGGGTGCGGGATTGTGAAATGCCGAACATCACACCCGTTTAAACCCGGGTTTAACCCACAGCGCCTGGCTGTGGGTTTTCAATGTTGTATTCTGCTGCATTTCACAATGTGCTCTGGATGCCGAGTCCCAGCCGGCACGCAAAGAGACCTGTTCCAATGATGTGTGCTAACTGCTGTGACGTGTCCGTCCGCAGGTCCATTACATCTTGCAGGAGGTGGTGATGGGAGGCATGGTGCTGGAGACCAACATGAATGAGATCGTAGCCCAGGTGGAACTGCAGAACCGCATGGAGAAGTCCGAGGTCAGTCCGTCAGCCACGTTAAAGGACCATGCCAGTGTCTTGACATTAAACATCACCGTCTTTATTAGCCTGGTAGCAGACCTCTGAATCGCCGCCCACATCTCGGATGTGGCCAGCGATCCAAACAGGTCTGATGTTGCTGTTGATATTGTTGAAACAACTGACCAATCAGAGCTTAGCAGGCCTCGTAGCTAGGAATGTGCTTCCCAGAGCTAGCTAGCGAGCTACATTCATGAAAAATACAGACGAGCATTAATGAGACTGATCCAGCTTACAGAAATAACAAATGATTAAAGGAGTACTCCACCTTTTCAATTGTAGTCTTCAGCCCCAACCAAAGCGGACTCAAGTGACATCACTTGAGGCTATTTATCAGACTTTGTGTAGCTTAAGACAGATATGCAGCAGTATTCCCCAAGACCTGGAAACAGACTTTGGTGTGTATAATCAACACATTTCTTTGATCGTTGGGAAAACTGTTGAGCTAACTTTCCTTTTATCGACCGCTACAACCAGGAGAGGGTTAGCTTAGCTTAGCATAAAGACGGGGCTTAACAGCCTGCGGGACTCCGTCCAAAGGTAACAGAATCTGCCTACCAGCACTTCTACAGCTCCCTAATTTACACGTATCAAATAGTATCAAATAATAGTTAAATCTGTACAAAAACTGAACTGGGTCTGGACTACCGTAATTCTTGGCAAGAAAGCGAATAAACATATTTCCGAAATGTAGAACTGTTCCTTTTAAGTTTGCAGTTCAGCAGCCAGCCCTGAAGTCTCACATCTGTGAATTTGCTTGTAAGTACTGATAAGGAGAGATTTCCATAACGGTTCCTCAACCACATCATAAACAGTGTTGGCGACATGACCTCTCAGGCATACTTTAAAAATGTTTGTCAGTTAAGTATGTTCAATATGTTGTAAGTAGACTAAAAGATGCAAAAAATATTAGTTCAGTATGGTTGTTTTTTCCTACTTTCATAAAATGCTGACAGTAGTCATACAGGAGTTTTTTTGCCATAGAAAAAACAAACATATGCCAACAATTATAAAGATACTGTAATCACACCCAGATTCCACTCCGCTTTCCCATGTCTTGTTTTGGCAGGGAGGTCTGTCGGCGGCCCCCGCTCGCGCCGTCTCTGCCGTGAAGAACATGAACCTGCCCGAGATTCCCCGCAACATCAACATCGGAGACATCAATATCAAAGTGCCGAGCCTCTCCCCGTTCTGAACGGCCATCCCCGCTGAACTCCGCAGGGCTGATGTACTACTGATGCAGCTCCCCTCCACCCAGTTCTGTTGTTACTAGAGAGTAAAAAACAGTTTTACATGTGTATCATGGGACCACAGCAGCTTATTCTCTCCCCTCATTCTTATCTTTTCACATGAACTGGCGACGAGCAGTGGATTCTTTTCGAGTTCTGCTGTACACAAGTTACAGATTAACGCCCGTTGACGGATTTGCATAATAATGTAAAGTTTGATTCTATAAAGCATCAAGAGGAATTTTAATATGTATGTATTTCCTGCTATTCTCTCTGTCTATGTGTTATTTTGTATTTCTCCAGTTGATTTCCTACTCCCGCCAAAAGAAAGACTGCGTTGGCCCGGTGCCTATTTTGTTGCACAACTCGTCCAAATGTCTGACATCCATCAGCGGTCATTGCGCCCGCGGATTGAAAACGTTCCCCTCTGTCTGGATCAAGCTTTGTTGGACTCACCATAATAAGATCTTTTTTGGCTTCAGTGTTGGCTTATAATTACTAAAACACATCGTTATCTCCTCTGTGTGTGTGTGTGTGTGTGTGTGTTCATCCGGACTGGGATTAGACTCCTCTGCTTGGCTCTTGTCTCAACTTGTTTTCCTTTCTCTGTAATATATTGTGTTCCCGATGTCCTCGTAATTTGCGAATGACATTATGGCTCTCCAGGGTGCAGATCGTGCTCAGTGCGGCAAATGTAAATGCTGTCTAGTTCTAGCCAAGTTCCAATGTGCTGCAATAGGATCTTGCCAATAACTGTTCAGAGAGGCAACAGGCTAACTTTGCCCCGTTGTGGATCGTTAAGTGTTTGTATAACGTGTGTTTGTATCTTTGTTGGCTGGTCATTTTGTGATCACGTTCTTTCAAGCCATGCCTCCGATAAAGTTTCACTGTTACGTCCTATCAAAGACATTTCTCGCCGTTGTAAATTAAATAAATGAAAATACATTCCCCCATGGCTGTGCTTTGCTCATTCAAGGTGGAGTTTTTTTTATCCTCGTCAGCAGGTATGCTGAGTCACCGGGCTGTGGTCAACCAGCCTCCCTGGTCAGAACACTCTGTACCTCTGAGGATCTGATTTCTTTCTGCTCAACCACAATATCTTGTTGATACAGCTGTATTCTTTCAGTCCCCCCCCACCCTCTCACCAATTTAGGGATTTTTTAGGGGGCTGGGGGGGTTTGAATTGAGGGAGCTGTTCCCTCCCTACATCCCCAGGAAAAACCTGTGGTCAGCTCTCACCACCTCCCACATCTACCCTCACAGATGCAGGTTGCGAGTGTTTCACATCAGCCCCTGGATCATTCCAGCTCCACTTCTGCGTCTCGTGCAGACTTAAACCAGAGCTCGCGGTGGACGTCCAGCTACACGAGGTTTGGTATGTACTGTTCTCCCACATGTTATTTCAAATGTGCTGCATGCTAAGTTTACTCCTTAAGTTGCAAGTTGTGTCTTATACGACCAGCCGGCGTCTTAGCTTTCCAGCCTTTGGCATCTGGTGCATTGTTGCGCAGAAGATAGTTTCTCAGAATTGGTCTGCAACAAAATGATTCATGCCTGACTGTTCACAAATGGTACATGTATTCAGTGTCGGGAGAATACATCCGCTGGGAAATGCTGTTTATGAAAACGAAGATGATCACTGACCATCAGTTTCAGTTCAAGTGCAACATATACCAAGGCTGGTGACCACTTTTTCAGTAGTATGCAAACAGTAAATACAGAAATTATAGTATATTTGAAGTCCCAGTTTGATTTATTGGCTCTGCTGTGGATTAATTGGTTGCCAACATTCAGTGTGGGCTGTACTGGAAGTAAACTCTGCAGCTCTCGCAGCTGGCTGAAGTTTGTCAGTACAGTGTGGAGCGGAGACCGCACAGAGCTGATATCATGTGCAGGTAGAGCAATAATGCAAAAGCGTGCATGGCCACTAAAAGGTATTTTAGCATCACATTCTTGAGATGAGACGAAAAGGGAATCTGGTAGAAATGGCAAAGTGTGAATGAAGACAGAAAACCATGCAAACAAAATGAGTGTGAGTCATGCTGGTGATTTATTTCTCCATATGAACCAGATTAAGTTTTACAGGCAGGTGGCCAGTTTAAATCCTTCCCAGATATCTTGATGAATTAACAGTCCACATGCCAAAAGCAGAATATGTCTTCCATTACTAACAAAGGAGCCATTGTGCAAGTTGTGACCAATAAGAATACACAGCACTTGTAGGGAGCCAAAGAGGAGCATCTGTTAAAATCACTTCACTCTTTTGTTGTCATGTTTTACTCCATTATGTGATTTTGTGCGCCCAAGATAAACATTTTCCACTCACAAGGTTAACCCGCTCTCTGTCGGCTCGTTAACCCCCTGCTATCGACATGGACTGATTGTGCTTCACCTTGAAAAGCAATGGCATCATTTTTTACTTTTAGCACAGACTGCACCTGGAAGAGAATAGTTGTCTGTTAAGATTTAATATTGTATATCTGCAATGTAGCCTATAGGACTACGTTTCACAACAAGCCCAACCTTACCCGTTATTAGGAATTTTTAATAAAAATGTAACACATTTTTTTATTTCTCACACATTTTCAAACAGACGATGACTGATTTAAGGTAAATAGCATTAACTACATATTTGGTAAAAATTGAGTTGAGAAGACCTTAATTTGTTTGCTGTCTGTAGTCCAAACAACATATAAATATGAAGATGTTCCAGAGGAAACACCTGTGTGCACATGCAATCAGATAGGAAGGAAAGGGGGGATGTTATACTCGGGGGGGGGGAAATGCATAGTCAGGACATTTATTTTTTTTCAAATGATAAAAGGAACAAATTTTGATTTGAGTTTTCCTCTTCCCACAGCTGATCCCAGTGCAGTGACTGATAATTTAAAGGGATTTTGACCACTTATCGATTGTGAGACCGTGTTGAGCCTTTATGGTCTGCAGTTTATGAGTTGGGACTATATAAATGGCCAGGCTGCTGCTAACGTCAAAGAATGTCAAGGATAGATGTCAGTTGTCTTGTCGATAAGCAACATTTACAGCTGTTTTATCATGTCACGCTTTGATCTTTGTTCTAATGAAATTGTTCATGGCTGTAGAGAAGTGATACGGTCGATTTCTCGCCGAGTCATTCTTAGTTGTAAAATGATCCATGACTATTTTCTGCCCTGCTGGTTGTTAATGACATAAATAAATGACACACACGGAAAACTTGATGACAAAGTCAAATGGAAAATACAATGAGTGGAAATATGTTACAATATACACATTTATCACAGACAACAATCAAGGATGGATGCAGCATGGTGGTAGAAACATGTGGCCACTATGTCATAATATCTTTATTAATATTTACAAAAAAGGATGCTTGCTGGAAACCAGTATAATTACAGTTTAGAGGTAAAACTATATGCAACACTCATCCTTCAGCACAGGTTAAAAGCATAGGCCCTTTTCCACAAAATATTTACAAGCCAGATTACATTAATACAATAACTCATAAAAGAGATGACTGCAGTGTAAACAAGCAGACAAACACAGGGTTTATTCAGTATTATTGAACAATGTGATGCTTTTTTTAATCCAACGCCATCCGTCGACTCCTCCACTTCCCCAACTGACCACTTTTCCATAAGCTTTGCGGCACGGATTGACTTTGCGTTGCACGTCATTATACGAGTTCTGAGTGTTCTCTGGAGTGCCATGCAAAAGTATCAGAAAGCAGTTGTGAATACATTTTGTAGATTTTCTGGTGGCAGACATTGTAAAACCCTGTTTTAGGACTAGTTGAGGATGCTGGTAATGTGTGTTTATTATAATTACTGAAGATGAATGTCTAAAATAAGATTATGACACTCTACTTGCAGCATAACAATGAAACTACAACGCCAACACTGATTGTGCACCATTTCTAAAAGCTGCTAGGTAGCAGACTGAATGACCGACATCTTCCGATCTTTCCATTTCTCCTCAGGTCTTATGAAATTGCCTTTTTTGCCATGTTAATAGCTCAGCCATTAACTGAGGAGGGCAGAGACCTGCTGTACTGGATAAACACAGACTGAGACCCCTCAGAGTTCCTCTCCGCCCTCCTGAGTCAGACATGGGGAAAGTGTACTATGTCAGTAAAAATGTGGGCCTCGGGATTCTCGCGCTGGCGGCCATTGCTTTGGCTACGATTATAGCTCTGTCCATCGCCTACGACAAGGAACGGGCCAAGAATCGAGGCAAGCCTGGAGACGGAGACTCAGACAGCACCAGCGTGCCCACGCCCTTCACCACCCCCTTCGGCCCGAAGAAGCCCTGGGACCACTACAGACTCCCAGTCTCCCTTGTTCCTGTCTCTTACAATGTCACCCTGTGGCCCAGACTGAAGCCCGAAACGGACGGCATGTACGTCTTCACCGGACAGTCAGCGGTGGTCGTCAGATGTGTGAAGGAAACGGACCTCATAATCGTCCACTCCAACAAGCTTAACCTCACCCACTTCTATGGGCACCATGCTGTGCTGACTGGCCTGGGTGAGGCCACCGCGCCCGCCATACGGATGTCTTGGCTTGTCGTGAAGACGGAGTATCTGGTGCTTCAGCTACAGAGCAGACTAGCTGTCGGAGCGTCATATGTGCTTTACACTGAATTTCAGGGGGAGCTGGCGGATGACCTGCAAGGCTTCTACAGAAGTGAATACACCGAGGACGGTGTGAGGAAGTAAGCAATGGCAGAGCATAGCATATTGGTGCACCATCATTGTTCTCTCAAAGGGAGAGATCACCCCAGGTATTTTTCCTTTTACCTGTAGTGCTATTCATCAATCTAGGTTGTTTTGGATGGAGTTGCCTAGTGTTGGAGATATTCGCCATGAAGATGTCTGCCTTCTCTCGACTATAATGGGACTATACGGCAGTCGGCTTGTGGTGCTCAAAGCTCCAAAGACCTATCTTCTTGTGCAGCCATATCACGATGCAGGATGAAGCGTGCATCTACTCATGGTCGAGTGGATCGTGACAGTGCGAGATGTAGATTAGTATCCAGTTGGGTAAAAAGAAAAAAGTTCCTGCGTGAAAGTGCAACAAGAATCTTGTGGATTATCCTGAGTAACCGGGTCATGACTTCTGAAAAGAGATATTGCTGTTGAGTTTTTCACATGTATTTTTTTACCACAGGCTGAGTGCCAAATAGTCCCATTATACTTTGAGGCGAGGCAAACATGTCTACGGCCGATATCTCCAAAACTAAGCAACTCACACTAAAACAATGCGGATTGATAAATAGCACTACAGGTATGTGGGAAAATGTTTATATCTGATTTTGGGGTCCCTTTAACAGTAGCACCTAATTTCCATGGCATGGTATTCCGCCTCGTTGCTGTCTATTTTGTGTTAATGCTTCATTGGAACATTTTGCAGAGTTGTTGCTACCTCGCAGATGCAAGCCACGTATGCCAGGAAAGCCTTCCCCTGCTTCGACGAGCCCATCATGAAAGCCGTCTTCAACGTCACCATCATCCACGACCAAGACACCGTGGCTCTGTCTAACGGCATGGAAATTGGTTGGTTTCAGAAACACAGTCCTTTCTAATTTTTGTCCTGTCACAAATCTCCATAGAATCTAGGTCAGTGCAAAAGCAAAATTGTGTGAAATTCACATAAAAATAGAAAAACATATTGAAAACACAATCGCAGTACAACACAAATGGTGCTTGGTAGAATATATATGAGCTGTTTGTGATAAAAGTTACTTTCAGAGCAGAGCGTGTTATGTGTGAGACAGTCAATAATGAATAACTTTGACATGTTATGAGAAAATCAGCAACTAGATGCTGTTAATGCTGACAGAGTGTCAGAGTCTAACTCTTCCCCTCCCCCAACAGGCACTAAAGACTCTGTCATTGACGGCGTGCCTGTCAGAGTGACTACATTTGAGCCCACAGAGAGAATGTCCACA